CTGCTGTTTTTATAGCTGGCTTTCGAGCAACGCATGATCGCGGTAAATTTCAGATCTGATGTTGTTGGGTGGGTGAGTTTCATTGGCTTTCCGCCCCGACTGGCCTAGAACTCAGCCTTCTTCGCCTCTGTCGGATCCGGTGCTTCATTTTCTTCCTCACTCCTCTCCCTGAGTCGAATTTTGTCTCTTCTGCTTGCCGAATGGATGAGCAGTTTGCTGTGATTGTTCAGAATGGGGATGCACAGCAAAGCAGTGAAGTCCTGAACGGATCCTGGATTCTTTAAGCGCCCTGCCCCTCCGCCTGCCCCGCGATGGTGGGGGCTGTAAAATTATCTCCGGAAGTAAACGTGATAGGAAATGAGTGAATTGCAGAGGAGGTGCTTGGTAGATGCGTTGCATTGCTGCGTTGTTCCGAAGGGGACCACTGCCGCTGCGTCGATGGTGACGAGGACGACGAACAAATTTATCAACAGCGTTGATGCTGTGGTCGATGATAACATTCGCGGTCTGGTTGCTACGCATGACAGCTTGGCCACACTCGATGTAGGTCCTCTTCTTCCGCGGTTTTTGTCTTCGGCAAGTCATGCTGCTCGTTCTTCGATCCGACACATGGCCGTTCTTGGGTCGCCGAGTTACCACGCTCGTAACGACTTAATTGACTGAGCCAATGCCTGTGCCTTTTAAGCAAGTCCACTGTTCGGAAGCGTTAATTTCTGTGTAAAAAACTAGCGCAACGGTGAGAAGTTGGTGAGAAATACACTGAGTATGCTGTGTGTTTTGTCCGGGGGGGAGGTGGCTTTTTCTGTGCAAGCACTGTCGGGTTTCTTTTACCAGGGGGCGAAAATGTGTCGATGTATCATAGGAGCAATTAGAAATGGCAGGAAAACAGCTGTATTTTGATAAAAAGTCTCGTCTTGTCCATTTGACTACGCTCGTACGTCAGTAAACGTTACACGAGATATTGTTCTCTAGAGAATGCTAATTCACTGCTCTGTTTACCTGAACAGGCATTCATCTGTTATTATTATGTACCATTATAAACATCCGATATACCCAGGATAACAAGATTACTCGGACGAACTGTCCCTACCAGGGTCTCATATTAGCCATGTTTTTGGGGTTTTCTTGCATGAGCCAGGGCTCAGTTATGTCATCATAGTCAGTTTTGTAATAAACTTGCTGCAACTA